ATAGTTGCATTCCCTTAATGAATAGAATGATTTTTTATAGTGGTGTTTTTAAGTAGGATCACAAGTCTGCATCTTGTACAGCAATTAACCACTGAGAAGAATGTATGCAGTGTATTATTTGTTGAAACTGTGCTTTCGATTTGATTTGAAAAAAAAATAAATAAAACATTTAGCATTCCCTAGCGGACAAGCTAAATGATAACCTTGTTTTCTGGAAAACTGGTCTGACAGACTGATGTGGGTTAGTTTAGAGATAAAGAACAGGATTAATCTAATTGCAGTAATCTATAACTGATTCAATAATGTTTCATTTAGATAAGATTCCAAGAATTAGAAAAAGAAGAGAATGAGAAGAACACACTCGTACTTTGTAGACTAACAAGGAATATAGTGAATTGGAAAATTTTACTTTTATTTGAGGTATTATTAATGATTTGGTCTTGAAGGCATCAATTATGCTACATATTATAGAATGTTAAACAGATTCCTTACTTATTAAGTACTCAAAAAATTAAAATACATCAATGAAATACTTCTTATAACAAGATGCACCAAATTATTATGAGTGATTGGTTTTTATTCCTAAGAAATCTGTATTCACTTCTCAGGTAGTAATTTTCCACCCATGTTTACTTGTACTGTTGTTTACAAAGAAAATGTATTAAAATGTACAAATGTTTGTGGCAAATAATTTCTTTAAGTGTTGGTATTATTTTAATACTTGTGTATGATGTTCATAATGTACAAATGTTTTAATTTGGAATACTCATGTTCATGAGATTTACATCATTATTTTATACTGTCTTATCTATAATTTATTTTTTAATTTAAAGTCCAGTAGTAACCACTATATTTTACATTGGCATGTTTACATTCTCAATTATTTACTTCTCATTTTTTTTCCTGAAGTTTTATTACATCAAACTTTGATGTTCACTTTTGTTCTTAGAGTTAACTGAATATATGGTATGGGCCAGTGACTTGACTTAGGTCTATCACCATGCACTAAGCTAAAGTCAAAATGGATTAAAGATCTAAAATTAAAACAGAAACACTAAATCTCCTGGAAGAGAAAGTAGGAGAAATTCTTGAAGACATAGGGGTAGGCAAAGAGTTCATGAAAAAAAATCAAATCACATGGTTAACACTTGAAAGAACTGACAACTGGGACCAACTCTTATTGACAAGTTTTTGCACATCAAAATAAATTACCAACAAAATGAAAATACAACCCACAAATTTTGAAAAAATCTTAAATAATACACACAGACAAAGCTCTCCTCTCTAGACTTTATAAAGAACTAAAATACATTAGGGCCCCTAAATTTGAAGAGCCAGTCCAGAAATGGGCATCTGAGATTAACACACATCTCCCAGAGGATGAAATTAAAGAAGTGAATAAATATATGAAAAAATGCTCCACGTCACTAACCATCCATGAAGTGCAAATTAAAACAACACTGAGATACCATTTCACCCCACAAATAATGGTTTTCATAAAAAAATTAAACAACAACAAATTTTTCAGTTGCTTTGGTGATAAGGGAACACTTCTCCACTGCTGGTGGGAATGTAGACTGTTGCAACCATTATGGAAATCAGTGTGGGGACTCCTTAGAAAACTAGCAGTGGAAATACCATTCAAACCAGATATTCCCCTACTGGGAATTTTCCCGGAGGCACTGAAAATATCATATCATAGTACATATTTGTACCTATATTTATAACAGTACAGTTTGTGGTAACCAAATCTTGGAAACAATCAAGATGCCCGTCTCATGAGGAATGGTTGAAAAAGATGTGATATTCTTGTGCAATGGAGTATTACTCAGCTATAAAGAATGATAAACTTGAAGCATTTATAATTAACTGGATGCCACTTGGCCAAATAAATCAGACACATATGTGTAAATATCGTATAGTCTCCCTAGTATAAGAAATCAAAAAAGAAATACAAATAAAGAGGTATAACACAACTAAAAGTAAAGCGAGAACTTGAGGACTGGACACCGAGGAGAAGGTAAGGAGAAAAGCTGAGAAACAGGACAGGGACAAAGCCATACATTTGTACACCGAGGATGGGCAAGGCAATGATCCTGAGAAACATCATCAAGTTTTTCAAACGAGCAGTTAATTGGAAGGATTCTCAACCTGAATAACTATATGCTGCTAGCTGTGAACC